GGAATACATATAAGAACATTGAAGTAAGAATGTTAATAGGAATAAGAAAAATATATATATAAAGTATTTGAAAATGTATGTTCATTTATTAGCCCTAGATTTTAAATTACACTATTGTATTTGATAGATTCACATTTGGCTTTTATCTGCATTTTTTATTTTGGAAATATACATTTATCGTGCAAACATCTATTGTCATTTTTGTTATTTGATTTAACACCAAATAATTTAGAACAATTGTTCAAATCTGAGGCCTTTTAGATAACTGTATTTTATTTGTACATCGTAGTTATCTTAATTTACAAATGAGAAATGTTTGAATGGCTTTATTTATTTTAACCGTGTTGCCGGTTTGTGTGGTTATTTCTCATTGTTGTAGTTTTTGTAATTAGCTGAATTTTAAACAAGGGTATAAATAAAGGTTCATTCATGTTTTCAGGTGTTTAAATATCTTTATTGTTATCTGTTGACTTTTGTTTATTGATGTTTAAGTCTTACGTTTGTTTTCTATGTGAAGCCCTTTCATTACATTTCATTTAGCTGACGCTTTTATCCAAAGCGACTTACAATTATTACTTATATTATATATATACACACGCATATATATATATATATATATATGACAGACGGAATATTATTACATATTGAAAAGATTATATTAACCCCGTCCCACATAATTACAGGTACAAGCAGAGTTAAGTACAATTTTGAGGTTCTTGTACTTTACTTAAGTATTTTCATTTTACATATATTGTACAGAGGTAAATGGTGTACTTTTACTCCACTACATGTATTTAATACCTTTAGTTTTTACAGATCTGGATGAGTGATGTGAAATATAATCAAGTTGTTTGTCTTGTTTTACCCCTATGCCCTGTAAGGTGTCCTTGGGTGCTATGAAAGGCGCCCCCCAAATAAAATGTATTATTATTATGAAGTGTTGAATCAGACTTTAGTTCCACCTGGAGTAAATCCACCAGCTACCCTGCAGTATACAAAGTCATTCAGACTAGCTGCACCTTCACCAGCTTTGAGAACACTTTCATGATCAATCATTATAAAACACATCATATATATTATTCTGAAATGGACCAATCTGCACAACGACTACTTTTACTGTCTTTCACTATATTTAGATGAGAATACTTTTCTACTTTCACTTGAGGAACATTTTGAATGCTTTTACTGTAACAGAGTATTCCTACTCTCTGGTACGTAAGAGTTATTTTCCCTCCTCTGGGAACACGTTGTGTTAAAAGAAACGTAAACGATTACGCCAAGTCGTATCGGGCCTGGCTTTGGGTTTCAGCCGTATGTTCTTTTGAAGAGGTTAGAAAAAAAGGAACATTTCAAAAGAAGAGATAAGGACGATTGTGTGTCCATCTTGTTTCTGTTTCCCCCTGTCACCTGCCTTCCTGTAAACCATTAACCGACTAACGTCCATAAAACTCGACTTTATGGAAAGTTTGATGATGGCGGCGGGTTGTAAACGCTGGAGGTTTTTATGGTTACGCTGGCTGTTGCTGCTCACCTTGACACAGTCTGCATGCGAGTACAACAAGAAGAAGAAAGAACGAAACACTTCCAACAACTTCTGTTAGCTTAGCACATTTAGCTACAGTAGCTATGCAGAGAACTTTGTCAAGATAATATTTAACAAAAATGAAAACATATATAAAAGTGACACTAGAGCTGTCAGATATTTATAGTTCAGTAAAAAGTATTAAGTAGAAGCTTAAAAAGGACATATTACTGTAAAACGATTTTTAGGAAGTCCTCCATTGGACTCCTTTGTTTACTTCCTGAACAAAGTGACATCACTAAGGAACACTGGCGATGCTACTGGCTAGCGCTCCAACACATTGTACGTGATCAGAATCAAGTGTTTTGCTTTGGTGTCTGGTGGTGCACATAAACAAATCTAATAGGTAGATAGTAAGTCAAAAATATAACGATAATAAAAAGGAGTATTTTTATAGGGTAAGGGAAGGGCAGTCGACTAATCACAACAGAGCCGTCCTGCCAACCTGTTCATTTGCAACAAGACACTTGATTGATTGATGATAACATAGACCAAGGTCAATAAAACCATGTTTTTTAGAATCAGCGTTGAAATCGGTTTTGCTTCCTGAGCAGTGGACGTCTCTGTGTTCTCTGTGTCGTAAACATTTCTGCATTTAAATGTCTACAATTAATGGTTCAGTGTTAGGTTTTGTTTTAATAACACATTATACATTTTTCACTGGTTATTAAAATCACTGGTGGATTGTAAAATCTGTTTTCCTGTGCTCTACAGGTTGATGGAAGTATTCCTCACAGCAGTGGTGTTGTTTACTGCTGCCATCTTGTGTTCAACAATGTGTTGGAAGTTACAACATTACAGCAGATTAAAATATCACATCACAACCGTTAAATAATACTTTTATTCCAATGTTTATGTAAAGTATTGATCTAGGAAACAAATGAACAAGGAAGGTTGCTCATAAACTAAAGGAAAATGTTTAGAGAATTCTGTGAGATCTACTCCATTATTTTCATATAGTATATTATGTTGTCATTCTTTTAACATAATACATCTTTATTTGGAGAAAACGTCTCATCATAATGACTACAGCATCTATTGGCTGAAATGAACTCCGAAGAGGGATTTGTTTTGCAGAGAAACCTATTTGTTAAAGATAATCTTAATTTAAATGATTATGTAAATCTTACCTCTGATACGACTTAACGCAGGAAGACGCAAAGTATTGATTACAATACATTAATTACATTTAAAAGTGGAAGGAAAAACGGTTATATTAAAAACATAAGTATATAAGCGCTGCTCTTTGTTGGCCCGCCCACTGACCTCTAACACGTCCGCGGACTCGAAATAAACCCGGCCGCTTCTCATGGTGCCAACATTCATATTTGGTATTCATAACCAACGAGGAAAAGGAGACAAGGGACTCGGCAAAGGAGGCGCTAAGGGGCACCGCAAAGTGCTCCGTGATAACATCCAGGGCATCACCAAGCCCGCCATCCGCCGTCTGGCTCGCCGCGGCGGAGTGAAGCGTATCTCCGGTCTGATCTACGAGGAGACCCGCGGTGTGCTGAAGGTGTTCCTGGAGAACGTGATCCGTGATGCCGTCACCTACACCGAGCACGCCAAGAGGAAGACGGTGACCGCCATGGATGTGGTGTACGCTCTGAAGAGGCAGGGCCGCACCCTGTACGGCTTCGGGGGATAAGCAGCTGCTGACCCACCGACCAAAGGCTCTTTTAAGAGCCACCCACTTCTCTAACACAGAACATTCCTGATTTAGTTTATTGGTGGATACAAATGTAAATTGATTGAATGATTAACATAAAACATTTGATGTGATTTATGATTATAGTTGTATATTCCTGTGAACAGCCACAACACTTAGTAACAGCTCAGCTCTGGCTCTCCGGCAGTGGGTCATCTAACTGTCAGATAACTCACTGCCACATGAGCAGATTGAGTTCCTCCCTATCACGGGTTTCTGTAAATGATATACCATCCTATATGTATATAATGCGCTCCTGTAGTATTTCGAATCTTTTCTATATCATATTTTCTATTGTTTGTTGGATATAACACTGTATTAATAGTTTTTCTCTGTATTCCACTTAAGTATTTTCATTATGAAAGCACTGCTGCTTCTGTGAGGAACACATTTGCCAAATTGGGATCAATAAAGTACATCTGTCTAAAGTGGAGGAGGATTTATTTCATTTGTAACAAAAGTCATTCTGAGTTTAACACCAGGTGATGGCTCCTAAGCCTCCATGCTTTCAATGATAGCGTTTAGTAACCCCCCTCGTTGTGCCCCTCACCAAGTGAACACATTATCTGTGGGTGGGGGGGGATGTTTGCCAAGAGAAGGATCTTTCCTTGTATGAATGTTTAACGATGTTAATTCTTGTTTTATAATTGGTATTTTGATTTTCCCATTTTTCACTTCTTTGACTTCAGTTTATTCTCCCAATGTAGGTCTGCACACTTTGCATTAGCTGTAGTGTTCACATACTAACACACAACTAACAAACTAGCTATTTTTATATTTACTCCATCCTATGTATGATGACATTAATTATTCTTAACACCAACTATGTCAAACACTGTGAATATGATTAGGCAGTCAGTCTGTATGTACATTATGTGCATTATTTGCCTATAGGTTTTTAGGTACACCACTAATATAATTAATGAACGGTGGGAAGGTCCGTTTTTTTCTGAAAAGCAAAATCGAAGAGCTGATAGAATAATGTTGTTTAAGTCATGCTATAACAATTCTGTTTTTAAAAGAAAACACATAAATAAATATGAACTCTTGAAGATAACTTTGCTTTATGTTGGCCTGATCTCATTAAGTACAGTTGGAGCTGCATGTAATGCTTTGTCATAGAATCATAATCATAAATGTAAAACCTTTTAACGAAAACACTTAAAGTGGTAAAAATCCCTATTATTTGCTAAGTATCATTATATTTTATTGTTCTGGCCAAATCAGATAGTTCTACAACATGCTGCTCTTACATCATGTATGCTATTAGTAGTACAGGTAGTACTAATTTGTAAGTGATATTACATGTAAATATATAACACTCTTCATCTACCTTTTGATGATAATGTAAACACTTGAAGGAACATGTTTACTCGTAGTTCAGTACTTCATACAGTGTGGTATTAATAATATATGTATATTCCTTAGGCTGTAGCTCCTTCTTTTGTACACGCTGAAGGGCCTGCGTCTGTAGCCTGAACTCTCACGTTATCCCATATTGTAAAATATATACTGTTTATAGAGGTCGAACTTCACACGTTGCTCATCTGACAGAGAGGATACATAATTGTACCAGCAGGAAATATGTCTTAAGATGAGCTCCCTTCTGATTGGACGATCGTAGATACGTTCGCTGATGGCCAATCAGAGAGCAGCAGGTGGATATAAAGAGCCGCTGTGGCAGAGAGCCACACTTCGTTGGAGACCCGAGAAAGCAAATATGTCAGGAAGAGGCAAAACCGGAGGAAAGGCCCGAGCCAAGGCTAAGACCCGCTCCTCCCGGGCCGGGCTCCAGTTCCCCGTCGGCCGTGTCCACAGGCATCTGAGGAAGGGTAACTACGCCCACCGTGTCGGTGCCGGAGCCCCGGTGTACCTGGCCGCTGTGCTGGAGTACCTGACCGCTGAGATCCTGGAGCTGGCTGGAAACGCCGCCCGGGACAACAAGAAGACCCGGATCATCCCCCGCCACCTGCAGCTCGCCGTCCGCAACGACGAGGAGCTGAACAAGCTGCTGGGAGGAGTGACCATCGCTCAGGGAGGCGTGCTGCCCAACATCCAGGCTGTGCTGCTGCCCAAGAAGACCGAGAAGGCTGCCAAGAAGTGAACACCCTGAACCCGCTTCAATAAACACCAAAGGCTCTTTTAAGAGCCACACACTTCTGTCCAGAGAGCTTTCCTTCATCAAACACTTTTTTATATTGATCTAATCTTTGAATATGTTTCGTAGTTTCCACTACCCTAATGTGTAATGTGAGTTTAACTGCTTATTCACTCAACTGTAGATCAAACATTCTCTAATGAAGGTACACCTTTGAGTGTTTCTCTTCTAGGCTGTTAGAACTAAAGTAAACTGATGTAGATACTTTCATTACACTTCAGACCCCTGCAAGTTGACCTGTGTGTCAACATGGAATCTAAAGGTATTTGATCAGTGCAACAATATATGAAAATAACATGAAGCACAGTATCTGCAGGTAGGCCTATGTTTCTGTATTTAGAGACATGTGACTGCAGTGAGCCTCATCATGACTCAAGTGTGTCAAAGTGTATTTATAGCCCAATATCACACACTTGTCTCAGTGGACTCGGTTAGTGCAGGATGTGAGAACGACCCCCTCTGTCCTTGGAGCCTCACTTACTCCACTTTCTCCTGGTGGTGTTTTTACATCATTGTTAAATAATGTAATAACTGTAAATATTATATTAAAGCAGTTAAACATGAAATAAACAGCTGTGTACATGAATAATAATAAACTGCTGCAGAAGAGAGAAATAAAGTTCCTTTATTTGTGATTATATTCTATAAAATATGAAATCACAAACTTTTTATCTGGGTTTCCAAACAGTCTGTAAACCATCACATCAACTTGATGTCAGTCTTTCAGTTTGTGTGAACAGAGAGATCGAAATACTGATTCCTACAATCCAGAGGAATACAAATATATATATATATACAAATGTGTATATAAATCTATTCATGTTTTCACGATGCTCATATTGCTGCTAATATAGATGTGTAATAGACTTTAATACTTGTCACTTTAAGCGTATATCAGGGTCCTTACCAATATATAAAAAGTTACCTGAAAATTAAAAAACGATGTTTTCTATTCTCCAAAACTATGCTCAAAGGGTGATTTGCTTTGCGCATGCTCAGTACCCAACCAATCCCTTGCGAGCAACAGCGCAGGGATATTTGCATACGGTGGATATAAATAGACCGCTCTGCCTTCAGTTCTCGCTATCTCTATCAGACCTCAACGTGTAGTCATGCCTGCAGACGCACCCCCCGTCAAAGCGGCCAAGAAGGGCTCCAAGAAAGCCGTCGCTAAGACCGCCAGCAAGACCGGCAAGAAGAGGAGGAAGTCCAGGAAGGAGAGCTACGCCATCTACGTGTACAAAGTGATGAAGCAGGTGCACCCCGACACCGGCATCTCCTCCAAGGCCATGGGCATCATGAACTGCTTCGTGAGCGACATCTTTGAGCGCATCGCCGGGGAGGCCTCCCGTCTGGCTCACTACAACAAGCGCTCCACCATCACCTCCAGGGAGATCCAGACCGCTGTCCGCCTGCTGCTGCCCGGAGAGCTGGCCAAGCACGCCGTGTCTGAGGGCACCAAGGCCGTGACCAAGTACACCAGCTCCAAGTAAACCCTGATAGACCGACAACACAACGGCTCTTTTGAGAGCCACCCAACCCATCCAGAGAGCTCCTCCTGATTTACTGAAACTACCAGAAATGAAATTAACTTATTACACTAATGTTGCTCACTTGTATACAGAGTGCTTGGAAGGAGCCACCCACCACTCGATCAACTATAAGATCCCTTCCTGTTCTAATATTAAGGTTTTCTAGAAAGGAAACCCTTTATCAAATGGGCCTTGTGCTTTGTTTACAGTCATAAAGCTCAGAGGAGAAGTCCCATCTCAGTATATCTAAATATTATTCACATGGCATCCTAAATATATAGTTTCCATTCATGCCCATTGTTTACAACTCTCAAATACTAAAAAAACAATCCAAGTACATTCTGAAATATAATCAAGTACTCTCACAAATGTGAATATTTACTAAAATCCTGCATTTATATAAAAAGTTATCAAAAAATTAATTGTTAAATTTCACAACAATCTCACCAAGTCTTAAAAGACGGGCTCAAATTAAACTTTAATTATGTAAGATAGTTGATGAAATTCACGTTATTTCTCATTACATTTGGGAAGCCAACACTGTGGAAAACTATTCCATTACATTTAACTTTTATTCAAAGTTAAGTTCACTTCAGAAAATCTGTTTTGAGAACAAACTAATAGTTTAAAATAGGAACTTTCCCTCCGACTGAAAAACAGTGGGATAGAGATTTAAAGGGTGAGTTGGAGTTCAACCTTTCATTTGGTTGGTTTAAACTTATTAACTCAGATATTATTATTGTGAAGGTAATCGCGCCAAGAACCATTCCTATAACAATCTGACAACAGAACATTTCATATCAACTTCCATTCCTGTAAAGCTATAAACGGTACTAAAATAATAAAAGGCCATAATATAGTTTGTTACTATGCCAATAAATAAAGTTCATAATGTTGTGATGAAGGCAAAGTGACCAAACAGATCATTATGGATTACTTGACTGTATTTTGCTTTAGTTCAATAGTTCTACCACCAAGAAGGTTTGATGCCTCAGTCACATAAGAAGGCAACTTTTAGAGTCAACAATGTCCATAAAGAATGTATATATATGTATATTTTCAAATTCAAAGTAAACTTTAATGTCAATCCTACTCAGCTTGTGTTTACAGACAGAGAGATCAAAATGACGTTTCCAACAATCCTGAATAAGAAAATAAAATTATACAATACAGATATGTATAAAATATGTATATCCTAAACACAATCAACAGACACATTTACACATATGCACACATTAAGATAGCATTAATTAATAATTCACGGTATTTACTTTGGGGCTTTCCCAAGTGTTCAAAGCGCCTTACAAACATATTAGACATGAATCCAGATGACTGAGGACAATACCCACAGGACACACGCTGCCAGAATCCACCGTGGTGTCTGATATATTGAATTAAAATACTCATCTTGGTTAACAGAAGGAACGGTGAACAAAAAGATGAAATGTGAAATACTTCTTTGTAAGTTAGTGTCCTGTTTTAGAGATATTACGTTTTATATAGTGTACACCTCTCAAGCAGTCTGACCGGCAGTGTTTAGATATTCACTGCGGACCTAAGAGAGGACGGACAGCGGGAAGGCTGCGAGGCGGGGCCAAGGCTGCAGCCTCCACATCATCCTCCAACACATTTAGTTTATTTTAGATATTGTTTATCTAATTCGCGCAGGCTTTATACTAAAGGTTTGATGATTAGAGGTTCCTTAATATGTAATAAAACCCCGAATAACATTTACAATTGAAAAAAGACAAGAAGACAGAAAATATATAATGTGTAAATACTGTATAGCCCACAGTTAATGCTTTTGACATGTCAACAGTTGCACACGGTATACACAGACCCTGAGTTAAGTTATTGTTATGAACTTGTTGCACATATTAAACCTGGAACTAACAAAGATTAAATGATTGCCTATAAAAACAACATTAAACATTAAATAATCAATTGCATTCATTTCTTATGGCTCTATCTGCAGCTTTTCCAGAGTCATTTCTTATGAGTACATTTCCCACAGGCCAACAACAGCTTCAACAAAACTATTCCCCTCACAGAGAAACCAAACATGGCCTGTTGTCCTGAGAGAGAAAGTGCAGAAGGAAGCATCCATTGAACTCAGTGTGCTGCTCTGTGATGCTAGTTCAGATACTTGGCATCTCATCTCGGGTGCAAGGTCATCAATGTTTGGGCTCAGGCTCTGAGCGGAGGAGACCCTCAGGATGGAGTGAAGGTGTGAGAGCGATATACCGGAGGGCCAGATCTAATAGTTATTAGAGATTATCCTGCGGGCCGAAATTAAATCCACCAAGGACCTGATTTGGCCCCCGGGCCTTGAGTTTGTATATTTAAGCTCTTACAAAAATAAAATGGCGTTGGTGAATTCATTATAATTTCGTTTCAGCAATTCTTGTTTAGTTGATAGTGATTTTTGACCCATTGTATTTTATTGACAGCATAAATAACAGATATACGGTGTATTTATTCTGCAGCTCAGAAAGTCAGATCGACGGAAACTGTACACAAAGATATGGTTTGTCTCACATCAGAGAGTTAGTTACTGAACTAGGGGGATCTGAATCTAACTAGACATGAATGATGAGTTAAATACAAGAGACATAACAGATGAAGAGGTGACCTGTGTGCAATGAAGCGTCTCGTGAGATCTGTAGAAATACACCTGTAGAAGGATGGAGCAAGTAGGAGCCAAGGTCCCTCCAGTGCTATTTACCGGCATGACAACAGGATCAAGTCTTGTAAAGAAATGGTCAAATGCACCTGCATGTTATTCAAACTCTGAGCTGACATTTCTCTTTGATTGCTTCCAGCAAAAACACTGAATGGGTATCCACTGAAATTAAGTCTGAGGGAAACCTGTGCTCAAAGTGCTTTAGTGCCGACTAAGTAACGTTTATCTATATATGATTGTAGGAATCGGTATTTCGATCTCTCTGTTCACACAAACTGAAAGACTGACATCAAGTTGATGTGATGGTTTACAGACTGTTTGGAAACCCAGATAAAAAGTTTGTGATTTCATATTTTATAGAATATAATCACAAATAAAGGAACTTTATTTCTCTCTTCTGCAGCAGTTCATTATTATTCATGTACACAGCTGTTTATTTCATGTTTAACTGCTTTAATATAATATTTACAGTTATTACATTATTTAACAATGATGTAAAAACACCACCAGGAGAAAGTGGAGTATGTGAGGCTCCAAGGACAGAGGGGGTTGTTCTCACATCCTGCACTAACCGAGTCCACTGAGACAAGTGTGTGATATTGGCTATAAATACACTTTGACACACTTGAGTCATGATGAGGCTCACTGCAGTCACATGTGTGGCAACCAAGCGGCAAACTCTGGGGAACAGCCAGGAAGCCAATACGGAAGTGCCACACACTGCAGTTCATATATTGGCCGCTAGGGACTGGCTGCAGAAAGGAGCAATTTCCATAGACCCCCATGTTAAAATGCCCAACTTTACAGCAGAAATAAACATGTTTCTACCCCTGGCTCCATACATTTTGTTATCGATATAGTTAGATTCCACCTTCATGATTATGGATCTGTGAGTGAATTGTTTTCTAACACGACCCTTTTATTTATATTAGGTCTTAAAGTGTTTGCATAAATTAGGGCGTGGTCACATTGAGTGACGGCTCTGTCAAGTGCCTGCCTGCCACTGTTATGATAATAATAATAATAATAAATGGTATTTATATAGCGCCTTTCAAAGGACCCAAGGTCGCTGTACATGGTGGACAAACAAAACAAACAGACAATCAACGGGCAAACCAAAGAAATAAATAAAGGAAGCCGGGGGACCAGAAAAGGGCTAGGGCCCGAAGGCCAAGGTGAACAGGTGTGTTTTTAGTGATGATTTGGAGATGTCCAGGGAGGCAGCATTACGGATCTCGGCAGGGAGTGCATTCCAGAGGGTGGGGGCCGCAAAACTGAATGCCCTGTCAGCAACTGTTCGGAGGCGAGAGCGGGGGATGGAGAGCAGGCCCGTGTCTGAGGACCGCAGACTCCGAGAAGGGGTGTAGGGATGGAGGAGGTCCGATAAGTACTGGGGGGCGAGGGTATGGAGGGACTTGTACGTGAGGATGAGTGTTTTGTATTGAATCCGGGACTTGACCGGCAGCCAATGTAGGTGGATGAGGGTGGGGGTGATATGGTGCCATGGCCGTGAAGCTAGATACAGGGACTCAGCCTGCTCAGTTCATCCAGGAAACACAACTTGAAGCCGGCCGTGGTTGTTTGTTCTTCATGCTTATATATCGGACTATTGTGACTCGCTCTGCGGTTAAAACAGACGGTGCATGCATGCGGTTTTGCGGTAAGTGAAAATCGAGTATTTATTTATGTGTTAATGATTTTAATCAGCTACGTAATAAATGTTAAGGCTTGGTTTAGTGTGTAAGCGAGTGGTAGCTACATCGGTGCTAACGATGCTAATCGTAGCCTCCAAGTTAAAATCATAGACTGTATATATAAAGGTTAAAACGAAATAGATAAGTGTTAAGTGGGATAATACTGTTGCACAAACGGCTTCTGTTTGAGGTTGATAAAATAAGGTTGCATCCTTGTAACTTAGAGATATTTTATTATGTAGGTAGAACTGTATGCATCTAAGGTTAATTTAAATTGGCTATGCTCAAGTATGTAGACAAGCTAACGTCGAAGTAGTGTAGACTGTAAAAAAAAAACTCATAAAAAAACGGTCAAAGTACTGGCAGCAGCGGCTGCCAAACAAAAACCCTTAAATAAAAGTAAAATACTTTAACTGAAATAAAGTGAAAAAGCCATTAATTTACGGGAATTGTCCTTTAAGATTTTACAGGACAATACTGTACTTTTACAGATGTATCTCCTCTTTTTACAGTCAACAACCTTTAATAAAAGTACAGCACTAATACTTTAACGTGCAAATACTCTAATTTTACAGATTTATCTCCTCTTTTTACAGTCAATAACCTTTAATAAAAGTACAGCACTAATACTTCTACGGGTAAAAAAATCGTA